AAAATATCAACAAATCTATAGCCGGTTGATAGCTACATATCAAAATTTTTTAGACAGTAATTTTATTACGATATGATGCTAGCTACAATAGTCAGTGGTACTTAAGCTTATTAAGCTGTCCTCGTAGCCAATTTGCTGCTTTTATCTTTACAAATATCGATGGCTTTTCGCTAACTCAAAAAAGCTTGCGATCCCCGTGGCCTAATCGCTGTCTTTATCGTTACGAATATAGCTAGCTATTCGCTAGCCGATTTTTTTTTATTTATAGCGAAACCAATATTTGCTATATGGTGTATTATAATGTATTTATGATTATTTTTTTTTAATTTTAAGATTATTGTTTCGAATGTAGCTATATTATTAATAAACAGTTTTTAATATTACAAAAAAACATAAAACTATTTAATTTTAAGTTATACATTGATAAAAAAAAATCCTTTAAAAAAAATATTAGTTCATAAATGCACTGATTACTAATAACTCTTTTTTCTCATCTTTTAACTTTCTTAACTTTGTTTATGAGTATCATAGTAATTATCAACATTTAAATTCAAAATGGTTGACAGCCGCAATATAAATAATGTTTTTGCTATGGATATATTAATATATTATGTAATTCATCGCTAATGGATATTACTAATAATGTATGAAGACGTGTGATGTTTTTATTATAGGAATGTTAGAAAAAGTAGTTAATATGCTACAAGCACAAATATACATGACGTATAAAAACGCAATATTTTTCAGCGTTTTGCTACTCCCTGGCCTAACGTAACTAAAATAAGAACTAAGTCATTCAAAATAACTAAAGTTTAATCCAAATAAATTTTTATCAAATATTAATTTTTTGCGATTTGCAGCAATGCCTTTGATGCAGATTTTTGGTGATGTCCTATCTTTTTATGTTGCATTTACAATATATATATATATATATATATATATATATATATATATATATATATATATATATATATATATATATATAATCTTTATGTCAAAACATTTATAAAATGTTTTGACATTAAGATTTTTTTAAACATAATTATAAAAAATTGTCGTTGTTCAGATTTAAAACATATTTAAAATGCGTGTTTATGTATATAATGTTTATGTATACATAAACAAATTTTTAAGTTGAACTTAAATTTTTAAAATGAACTTAAAAATTTGATAAATATCAATAGGTAAAAATTACTGTTTAGTGCAGTAGCTATTACTAAATTATTTAGTAATATAACGTAAAATATAGTGTAACTAAATATAGCTATATTTTCAACAAAAAAAATTCGGTGTGTTTAGAAGTTAATTTGAGTATAGTTTAATGTTTTATCAATTAATACTTGAATTTTTTTAAATTTATCAGCAAACATTAAAGAGCAGATTTTTTTTATTGATTTAAGAAATGCTAGCATTTTTGAAAAATGCGCGTAAAGCGAGAAATTTGTCTTTAATTTTACATCTATTAGTAACGTTAGATAATTTTGATAAAATCGGAAGGTGAAAACGGAAATTCTTTTTTATTGCTTAAAACTGTGTTAAAACGTTATTGCCTGTGATACGTATGATTTAATTAGAATTAGTCAAAGATGTAAAAGTTATAATCAATTTATTTTATTCTGATTATGTTGAAACTCGTCATACCATATGATTATTTTAACATTGTTAGATTTTTTTTTAATTAACTTAAAGTTGCTATATGCACGATAGTATGTGTGTTTTTTTATTATAGTATTGCCTAAATTGTTAAAACTTCAACATGCGGATGGTCAAGTTAAAACTTAATGATCGTGGACTTTCCAACTTTTACAAGCTCTACAATGCTGTAACCAAAGCAGAGCGTAAGTACTTACATATGGATGTTTTATATTCTTTAATTTTAATTTTTAATTTTAAGTATTATAACTATTTTAATGTACTAATTTTAATAGAACATTTTAGATTTTACAGAGAACGATTTCCAGAAAAACCATTTTAAAAACTCAGCTCACAATTTGTATAGTTCGTATGAGCACATTAATTTAAGCAGTTTTGACGAAGCGATCGACGATTCTGAAGAAAATTATAGTTATTTTTCTAAAACGTTTTTACAACCACGTTTTCTGACTCGGCTGCCGTCTAATTTATCAACCCATTCGGGTGAAAAGCTAGAAGTTGTATGTTTAGCAAACGTGCTATTTCCATCCGATATTGAATGGTTTTTAAATGATGTGTTGCTAACTAGTTCAACCGATGACAGAATAATTATAGAAAATAACTCCAGTAAACTAACCATATCATCAGTTAAAAAAACTGATTGTGGAAAATTAGCTTGTATTGCTAAAAACAGGTTTGGTTCAGACATTTCAATCTGCAAAATATCTGTAGAAGATCTTAAGTAAGAACATTGCGTTAGCCTATTATTAATTTGCTTGGTTTCAATGAGTTAAAAAAAAAATTAATATAAGTACTTGTATATGAAGAATGTAAAAATGACAGAAAATTGTGTTTAACATAGGTAAAATACTCCGTTATTTCTTGATATAAAAAAAGATGTTTTGCAAAAACTTTTATATAGTGAAACTTTTTTTATGATTACGATAAATTTTTGAACTGATTGAAAATTTATTTCGGCCGTATAAAAAAAAGTATTAATAATAACTTTTTTTATGAAAACTAAAAGTTTACACGTTTTTATTTTATTTTAATCTTGACAATGATAAGTAAAAATTTTTGTTTTTTATCTTAATTTTGTAATTATGTAAATATTTACATTACAATTTATTTATTATAAGTATGACATAGCGTTGCAATATAAAAGATTTTTTTTTGTGTGTTATTTGAAGATATATATATATATATATATATATATATATATATATATATATATATATATATATATATATATATATATATATATATATATATATATATATATATATATATATATATATATTAGGTTTGAGCTCAGTAAAATGGGTAAAAGTTAATTTGTTTAGCAGAAAATTTACCGGTAAATTGTTACTACCGCCAGTGCCGGATCACTTTTTTAGTCACTTTTAGACCTTTTTTTTTTAGTCACTTTTAGGCTCTGGCCCATAAAAAGTCCTCCAAAAACAAAAAAAGCCCCGGGCCCCAAGAAGTATTAAACTGCCACTGGTTACCGCGATATATATTTACGTTGTAACCCAGTGGGCACCGGACCAAAAAGAGACGTCTTTTGAACGTTTAAAAGACGTCCAAAACGTGCATAAGAAGTTTAAAAGACGTATTTTTTACGTCCGTGCCCACTGGGAAGTCAGTTATCGTTAAATTGTTTTTTTTTTCTCCAAAACATCGCTTTTTCTAGAAATGTCGCTATGTTTATTAATAATTTATTTTAGTTTATCATAAATTTGTCTATGATGTAAATCATGTTATATAGGTGAATGTCACTCGCATTTTAAAGACAAAAGTTTTAAATTTTAGATTGGGTCTTCGGCAAATTAGACTTACAACTTTAAAAAAGTATGTATATAGCGTGAAAATAAAACCCATATGAATAAACAAATAAACCATATTAAAACTGTTCCAATTTCCGTTATGGTTTCTATTATATTCTATTTTACTATTTTATAGCATATTTTATACTGCTTTTATTCGATTGTCTTTAAATTTTAACTGAGGATGAATATATTTAGTCAAAAAGTGTACATAAAAAATCAATAAAAATGATTCTGTAAATAAGCAACCAATACAATCAAAAATCTTTAATACAGCGGAGAAAATAGAACTAGCCTCACCTTTATTTTTTGTTCTAATTTAACAAAACCGGCAGTGAAACAATTACTAAATATACTTTATTTCTTATTATCTTATACAATTAAAAAATTTATAAATTGGTATGCTTAATTAATCGCAAATGGAAAAAAAATTAAGAGTTCTCAATTTGTGGAGAAAACAGAATTAGCCTCATTTACATTGTATACAAGAAGTTACAGAAAATATTTTGTTTTTACGCTCATTTAATATTTAGTGTTGCTTTTTGAATTTTTAATGACTTCAAATATGTGACTTCACATATTAGTTACAAGATTTTGGATAGTTTCTATAGATATTTCATTCCAAGCTTCTCTGATACGAGTTTTGAGCTCGAATGTGGATTCAAATTGCTTATCATTTTCATGATCCTTTCTAGAAAGTATTTCTCATAGATTTTCAATTGGGTTTAGATCAGGACTGGATGCGGGCCATTCAATTTTGTGAATATTTTTTTCTCTAAATCAAGCTTTTGTAAAATTTGAATTATGGATAGCAGCATTGTCTTGTTGAAAAGCGAAATTTTCACCCATCAAGTCTTCACAAAGTTTAAGCAAACTAATTTCCTAATAAGTCAATGAAATCCTGTGAACTCTTTTTTGTTAAAATCCATGCCTTTCGAAATTTTCCAGAAAATTAAAAGGCTCCCAAAAATCCGACTCGAAGTTTTGAAGTTCGTGCCAGTAATATTGATAGCCATCAGGACCATCTAGATTGAACTTTTTTTCATCATTAAAGAGAACTTGATGCCACTCTTCCTGCCAAGACATGCCCAGTGGGCACCCGACGTCAATCCGACGTCGGATTTACGTACGATTTTCATCAGCGATGTCAAAATACCTATTCCGACGTTGTTCCGATGTCAGTAAAATGACGTCGGGCGATGTCTTTATCTCAACATCCAATGACGTCGTTTCGATGTATTTTGACGTTGTTCCGACATCTTATAAAAGACGTACAAAAAACGTCGCAGTACTGACATCGATCCAACGTCGATAAAAAGACGTCGGGCGACGTCATAATATTAACGTACTCCGATGTTTTTTGACGTCTTCCGACGTCAATCCAACGTCCTTAAAACGACGTCGGAACAACGTCGTAAGACATCGCTGATGAAAATTTAATCCAAAGCAAATATGTGTGCAATTGCGCTCTTCAATAAATATGTGAACTAAGGGTGTTTTTTATTAATGGAAAGAAGTTTGAATAATGGTTGATAAAACATCATGAGGTTTTGTATGATGCACTAGCATAGTTTTTTAACTATTAACATTTTCGAGTATACGTTTTTTATAATATATAACTATTCGTTTTAATATATTGAATAATAATAAATATATTTATATAATATTTAAACAAAATTATTTCTTATCAAAGTAATAATTCCCAAATAGCTACAAGTATAAATTACTAAATAAACTCATCGAATAGTATGTTTCTGTGGTGTAGTGGTAAGCGCGTTGGATTTAGATTCTCTTAGACCGAGGTTCGTTTCCTGCCTAAGGCAACGTTTTTTAGTTTTCAAAAAACACGTTGGATTTACATCGGAATGCCGACGTCGCGCGATGTCAGTTTATCCGACGTCAAATAACATTTCCATTTCCAACGTAAACCCAACGTCGATCCGACGTCGAGATCCGACGTCGCTCGACGTTCGTTCGACGTCGAAATGCCCACTGGGTGTGTTCTTTTGCAAATTGTAACCTAACTTCTCTATGACAGACAAAGTCACAAATGTGTATCACCATATCAAAATATACAAGTGACCCAGTGGGCATTTTATATTTACAAAACAAGTAACCCACTGGGTTACTTGTATATTTACAAAACATTTCAAGAATTAAAAATATCGTACAATTACGACGTTCAACCATCTATATATATATATATATATATATATATATTATATATATATATATATATATATATATATATATATAGATGGTTGAACGTCGTAATTGTACGATATTTTTAATTCTTGAAATGTTTTGTAAATATACAAGTATATATACATATATATATTATATATATATATATATATATATATATGAAATGTGAAATGTTTTGTAAATATACATGTTGAAATGTTTTGTAAATATACAAGTATATATACATATATATATTATATATATATATATATATATATATATATATATATATATATATATATATATATATATATATATATATATATATATATATATATATATATATATATATATATATATATATATTATATATATATATATATATATATAATGCCGCAAATAATTGTAAACTTTAGTAAATAATTGTAGATTTTACGTTAGCTTTGAACAAAAAAAATAGAAACTGTAACAACGTAGTATTGAACTTGCCACAACTAATAAAAAGTTGTTTTGTTAATGTAAGGCGATTTTTTATAAATATATTTAAAAAAAATCGCCTTACATAAAACAACTTTTTATTAGTTGCGAATTTATAACTTTGCATTTTCTTTTTTTTACTTAGAGTTTATGTTTCATGAATTTAATATTTAAATTTGAATATTATTATATAATATTTATGATCTAATCATTACAGTTTGCAATCGGATCATTTAGAACAATTTGAATTTTTGCATAATAATAAAAGTTTCAAATTAGATTAGATAAAAAAGTTTGTATTAATTAAAGTAACATTACGTAACAATGTATTATATGATTTCCTTCAGCGGTATGTCTTTAAAACGAAAATTGTCTGATGCGAAAGGAAAGCGTTTTAAACGACTCAAGGAAATGTTGGAAGGGGCAGATACTAACAACACTATTACTTTTTTCGTGCAAGAACTCATCAACTTCTCCTAGCTCTTTCTCTAGCCCTGCAACTAATTATTTTTACTAGACAATACTTCGAACTCTAATGGTTTTGACAGTACTTTTTCTACTGCATCTCTTGCTAATCCTGGCACTGCTGTTACTACTTCTTATTTTGGCTCTGCATACACTGTTATTTCGGCATCATCTTTTAGCTCTCTCTTTAATTTCGGCATCATCTTTTAGCTCTCTCTTTAATTTTCTCCTTCGTTTACTAACTCAGCCAGCAATGATGTTAACTCTGCCTCCACTGTTACAGTCTACCAAAAAAAACATCTAAGTAATAGTCCGCATCAACCTGTGTTCATTTTGTCAGCAATGGTACAAGCTGATTCCGTGGTTGCATTAAAATGAATGTAAAAATAAAGTTTTATGCAACTATTGTATGTTAATGAAAATGCATAATTTATCATCTTCAAATTGCAGCCCGACATCTGAAAGACGTCCGACGGACATCCCCCGATCGACGCATGCCCACTGGGAGCAAGGATAATTTCACAAAAACTGGATTTTCTAATTAGAAAAAGGGTTTACAGAAACACCAAAATACTCTTTCTCATCGAGAAGTCATTGAGAAGTTATTAACTATTCCATCAACTAAAGATATTGGTGAACTTCTCAGCAAAACTCATGCAGAGGGAAAAATGAAAAATAGAGCAATGTTAATAATAACAACAACCACGGATATTCAGTTTCTCGCCAGACAAAATATTGCTCTAAGTGGTGATTACAATACAGAAAAAAGCTATAATGAATTTAATTCGAACTTTTCTCAGCTATTTAATGTCAGAAGCAAAGATAATCCCGTTTTAACTAAATAGATGAGAAAGTCGCAAGATAAATTTACAAGTGCAACTATCCACAATGAAATTATGTATAATGGGTGTAATCT